CTAATTTTTGTATTTTTAGTAAAGATGGGGTTTCACTATATTGGTCAGGCTGGTCTCAAATTCAAATTCCTGACCTTGTGATCCACCTGTCTTGGCCTCCCAAAGTGCTGGATTACAGGCATGAGCCACTGTGCCTGTTTTTTTTTTTTTTTTTTTTAAAAAGACGTAGTCTCACTCTGTTGCCCAGGCTGGAGTGCAGTGGTGCAATTTCAGCTCACTGCAACCTCTGCTTCCCAGGTTTAAGCAATTCTCCGGCTTCAGCTTCCAGAGTAGTTGGGAATACAAGCACGTGCCACCACGTCCAGCTATTTTTATGCATTTAATAGAAACAGGATTTAACCATGTTGGCCAGGCTGGTCTCCAACTCCCGACCTAAGATGACCCACAGGACTCTGCCTCCCAAAGTGCTCGGTGTGTGAGCCACCACACCTGGCCTTGAATTCTATTTTATCCTAGATTTTTAGTACCTAAAGACTCAGTCTTGCTTCAAAAAAGAACACTTCATGTTGCTATTCCAGGTTAAGGGGAATTCCATTTCTTAGCAAAGAAACTTAAAGTTTGCTGTGAGTTGGTTACAAATACAATAAAGTTTTGCCATGTAAAATAATTTGTACAAATCCTGGCAAAGTCTCTTCCAATTATCAGCATTTATGGAGGAAGGGCAATCTACAGATAATGAATGGACCTCTGAAATAGACTTAACAAAAAACAGATACTTTGCCAAACCAGAACAATTTTTTTTTTTTTTTTTTGAGACAGAGCGTCACTCTGTTGCCAGGCTAGAGTGTAATGGCATGATCTTGGCTCACTGCAACCTCTGACTCCCGAGTTCAAGTGATTCTTGTGTCTCAGCCTCCCGAGCCGCCCAGCTAATTTTTATATTTTAAGTAGATACGGGGTTTCACCATGTTGGCCAGGATGGTCTTGATCACTTGACCTTGTGATCTGCCCGCTTTGGCCTCCCAAAGTGCAGGGATTATAGGTGTGAGCCACCGCGCCCAGCCTTTTTACTTATTTATTGACAGAAATTTACTCTGTCGCCAGGCTGGAGTGCAGTGGCATCACCTTGGCTTACTGCAACCTCCAACTCCCGGACTCAAGTGATTCTCCAGCGTCAGCCTCCCGAGTAGCTGGGATTGTAGGTGCATGCCACAATGCCCAGCTAATTTTTGTATTTTTAATACTGAGAGGGTTTCACCATGTTAGCCAGGATGGTCTCCATCTCCTGATCTCGTGATCTGCCCACATTGGCCTCCCAAAATGCTGGGATTACAGGTGTGAGCCACCGTACCCGGCCAGCCTGAACCATTTTCAAACAAGGTATTTTGTTGGTGGTTTCAGATTATGAACAGAGCAATCCTTCCATAGTTCAGCCAAAATTTAGTTAGAATTATAGTAACATCTATACAAATATATTAAGTACTTTTACAGCTACATCAATTACTTAATTTTATTTTCACAAACATGCTACAAAGTACTGGGCAAATATCTTACCTAGATGAAGAAACTGAGGCTCAGAAAGTCCAGCTCTCTGCTCTGGAGTAAAAAGCTGGGATTAAACCCTGGACTTTCGGAAACAATTCAGTCTTTCTGACATTACCATGCAACATTTCCAGAAAGCATATATGGAAACAGAATACGAAGTATTACTTTTTTTGACATGGAGTCTTGCTTTGTAGCCCAGGCTGGGGTGGGGTGCAGTGGGGCAATCTTGGCTCACTGCAACCTCTGTCCCCAGTTCAAGAAATTCTCCTGCCTCTGACTCCTGAGTAGCTGGGATTACAGGAACATGCCACCATACCCAGCTAATTTTTGTATTTTTAATAGAGATGGGGTTTCACCTGCTGGTCAGGTTGGTCTTGAACTCCTGACCTCATGATCTGCCTGCCTTGGCTTCCGAAAGTGCTGAGATTACAGGGGTGAGCCAACCGCACCTGGCCAACTGACTCTTAATTACTCTAAATTTTGCATTAGAACATAAGCAAATAATGTTCTAGTTTTAATAAGTTTAATTAGAACTAAATTTCAATGTTTTTAAATTTAAAAATCTGATACAATTTACTGCATTCATCATGTCAATCACTATGAAATTTGTCAAGGGGAAATACCTGCCTAGTTCTTATTTAGATTAAGACTTAATTGCTTGTTCACAGATGAGTACCCAGAAATAAGATATAAACCATTTTCAGGGGAAAACATGCATGCATTTATTTTTAAGAATTCCCAATAAGGGGGGAAAAATTCAACATCTTTAAAAATGTGTTTATTTTTAAAAAAATCAGTTGTGTACAAAAGTGTTTCGTAGTTTTTTAATTCTCAAGACAAATACCCAACCCTCCACCCACAGCCCACCCTATTTCAATGGTATTTCTGGTAACCCACCCATTTTCCCCTTACAGGAAGTTAACGGCTCAGAATAGACCCTCCTACAGAATTTATCATCACTAACAGATTGTTTAGAATAGAGATCTAGAGAAGCTAACAAGCAAGGTTCCCTATAATGGCAGTAGACTTCCAGCAGACACCACAACAAAGCACCATCAATTGCTGAAAGCTAAAAAATAGATATTATTTTCAATAATATTTCATTTTCTATTGGAAAAGTTTTTAAATTACATTAAATAAGTCTCTTTCCCCCCAAAGAAATAGTCTAGCTTTTATTATGATGCCTGTAAAAAGTAGGTAACAGCAAGCAGACAAGGATCGTTAACAGCACAGTGTAATGATTTCTATCCACTCACACCTAGAATCAAACTGAGAAACTGTGCCACACCTGATTATATATAGCAGCATGGTTGAAATAACCAAGCAAAAGGTGACACATTCAAACCTTCCATTTAGGTAATTGCAAGTTCATGAGGGTAGATCAGTCCAATAAAGCAGTAACGTAACAAATGGGACAAGGGAGATACTAACACTCCCCTACCCCCATGCCACAAGATTTTTGATCTATATTGCAGCAGTGCAAATAGAATGTGTGACATAATATGTAGACACTGAAGAAAAGTCACACTTGGGAATAAAGGCCATTTATCAGCAAATACTTCAAGTTGCCTTCTTCCCAGCGACAGCAACTGGCTGATGGTGCATTTATTTAAAAATGGTACTGAAATAATGGAAATGCAATTTTTAAAATCAATGGTTTGTACCCTGGAATTGAAATTCCTCAAACTAGAAAAAGTGATTAATACAACATCATTTTGTAGAAGTCCATGAAATAAAGTTAACTGTAAACAGACGGCTTCCTTTTTCATGTCTAAACATTGTTTCCCTCTACATACTAGAAGGTGTATAGCTGGCTCCAGCTGTTCCCTACCCCAATCCATCTTAAATCTTTAAAACAACAGCAACAAAAATTCTTAATTTCCTACATAGGATTGTAAAACATTATCATACACCTACTGCAGAGTTTTAAAAGCTCAAAACAGGCATACACTTATACCCAAGATCTGCTTTTCACACTGGTAAACTTACTAAGCAGCCTCAACAGTCATACAGTATGCTGCATTCTGTAGTGCATAAATAAGCAAAATCCACTTAAACTGCCAATTCTTTCCTACAGATACTTAAAAAGAATTATTTTGCATAGTTTTATGTGCCACCAACAATCATAAATGTGTATTACTTCTAAAAAAAATCAGTCTTTCATTTTATAGATTACTCTCTTCAAAAGCAAAATACTTAGACTCCAAACATTTATATATCCTTGAAGGTGTTATGTGTTTAAGTGAACCACAGTTTTAATTCCAAACATTTCGGGGTGCCAATTCAGAGCATCTAATTCAGTATCTAGTTCCTTAAATATTTATATACCACGAATACTTACTTGGGTCCACTAAATGCCACTCACTCACTCACTCATTCAGTCATTCATTCATTCATTCAGTAATCAGTACTGAAAAATTATACAGCTAATTATTTCTTCCTTTAAAGAGGCACATACTCCGGAACAGGCCTGATTATAACAAAAGCCTACTGGAGTATCAGTGACTTCTAGCAAATCTGCCTGCCCTAAATGGGATTTCACTGGATTTTTTTTTTAAATATGATTTTTGAGGCTTTTAAAACTGACAAACAGAGCCAACTCAAAAACATTAAGAATTACAAAAATAATTTCCACCAGGGTACTTTTCCCTTAGGCCTGATCTTTTAGTGTCGTTTTTCCACACATATTCAAGACCAGAGGAAAAAAGCAATTGCTTTAGTTTCTATGTTTGGATAACTAAATCTACCTGCAGACAAGAGAAAGACAAAAACCAAATAGTACAGTGGGAAATATAACAGAAAGGACAAAAAAAAGATCATCACATTAAATGTAAATGAGGTAAATTTTTATAATAAAGAATCTATTATGAAGAACGTCTCAAACCAAATATTGTACTCTCCAATTTTGTGGGCACTGGGGATACTGAAGTATAGTTAGATGAGTATATACCCTATAGGGCTCATGTCCATAAAAATCAAAGCAGGATATAGCTGCCTCCAAGAGTATGTATGCATGTATGTATGTATGTATGTATGTACGGATGTAATGCTTGACCTTTAGTAACCTCTGAGCTCTCACCTTTGTCTAACCACAGGACAATTAAATATACCCTGATAATACAGGCAAAAAATAAACCGGGTAGATGTGTCTGATATTTTTAAACCCAAATTCTATTAATACTACCAAGTTGCTCTCCTCTTAAAAAAACTAATTCTAACCAATAATGGAGAAAAACCATCCACATTTTCACACAATCCCACCTTACTTCAAAATATAAAGTACAAGGTTTCAGATATTTAAAATAAATAAAGAAAAATCCTGTTTCCTTTGGCATCTTTAGAAAATAAACTACAGCAATAAAAGGAGGTGATTGTAAAAAGACATGCTTAAGCAAACATACGGGAAAAACAGCAACTTGTGTTTAGAATGCAATAATATCAACTACAAGAGTTTACTGTTAATTAGGAAAGCCTTACAAGTTTTTGGAAGAACCTTCACATCTTTAACATTACAATATATTTAATAATGGTTCTTTTATTGCTTCTAGTATCAAGATTATTGAGAAGTCAAATGAAGTTATGCTGACTTTATGATTCCAAAATTATCTTCCAAACACTTAAGGATTATAATTTAAGATAAATAACACTTAAAGAAAGCAAACCTTTTATAATATGACTTTCAATATACAGCCTTACTTTAATTCAGTCTGATTCCATTACATTTTTGTTATTTTGTATTGGTCCTAAAAATTTAGAAAGAATTGCATTTCTATATATAGAACTGCCTGCATAAATCTACTTCAACCTTCATAAAATGGTCACATTAGTGTTTGATCTTGCAAAACTAATAATTTTCTAACTTTTGAACTTAGAATGAAATGTAAATTTAATACAAACAGTCTGACTATGTACAAGAGAAGGTAAAGTTTTAAATTCTCATATTATCAGAAACATCATAAAGAAAGCTAGATTTATAACACACTTCTATTCCTATGTGCATCTGAAGTATGTACAATAAAACACCAACACAGCTTTCATGTGTCAATACGGGAAGTACAAGCAAGAATGACTTGAAGTTATCCAATAAAGCAATCTCTATAGACCCCAAAATCAGGCTAAAAACTACTGGAAACAGTCGACTGCATCCTTGCCAGTTCTCAAAGAAAAGTGTCATCATTTTAAAAATAAGTGTCAAATTCATTGAAAAACTAAGTTGGGTTCTTTCATTAAACCTGGGAATAATGTAACATCAAGTATTTACTATTTTTACAAGAGAAATAAAATTGGCAGTTCCATTTTTACATTACTTAGGAAAAATTTAAGAGTGTTTGAGGAATTGGGACAAAACATTCCAAACCTATGACCTAAAAATTAAGCAAGGGATATACACTGTCCCTCAGCACATTTCCTCACCAAATACACAGAAATTTACCATTAGAATATTAGCTGTGTGTGTTAAGGGGGGAGGGGAAAGACATTAGGTCCCAGTCTGTTGACAAGGACAAAAAGGCTCTGAATAGGTCACCATCTTCAATTCTGAGTAAATCTCCTATTTAAGAATTCTCAAATGCTTAAAATGGTGGTCTTTTCAGCTACCCATCCTAAGAAGTCAAGTACAAGCATGCAAGTAAATTCACAGGCACAGAGGATCCGTGTTAAAACAGTTAAGGTAGCTGTGATGCAACACCAACAATTTGAATGGCCCTGACACACTCAAAATATTATCTTAATTATTCAACAAAATCTTGAAGCAAACTCTTGCTAGTCTTGGTACACTGCTAAACACTAAAGTAGCATGTTTCTTCCATGGTTTTAGCTTAGCTCAAGGAATTTTTACACTATTAAGAAAAAAATTAAAGTATTTCCCCTTTTTAAATTTACACAGACGTTTAATTAGCTTTATTTACAGAGCAGGGATTTTTTTTCAGTCTCCAATGGTGCCTAGATAACATCATTAGGCAAGAATGCCAGTTTAAAAGAAATCTATGCAGAATCCTAAAAATAACAGGTGTTGGTGCTCCTCAAGAAGAGGCAAGCTTGACTATATATCAGCAGCTCTTTATGCCTCAGTTACTCAGAAGCAATTCTGTTGCAGTCTCTACATCCCATGATTTTGAAGACAAGGCCACTATTACTGCATTCTGTAGAGAAGAAAAGGGGACAAGAAATTAAATTTCAAGGAAACATTTAAACAGTACTGAATCACTCACTCTCTTTATATTGAGAATTAACACCTTGTTTCTTTGCTGTAAGTTGCTTTACACTTGCAGTGCATGAAAAGCTTCTAAAATCAATGACTGTAATCAGTAAAAAGAAAAAAAAAGCACTGATTTCGAAAACAGAAAATTTGTTAATCAACAAGAGCTTGTTATGTTGCGCAGGTTGGCCTTGAACTCATAGCCTCGCCTCCTCAAGTGCCAGGACAACTGGCCGGAGCCACTGCGGCTTCCGAAAACAGAAAATTTGTTTACTAAAACTAGATTTTCTCTTATTTTCCTCTTTTTTTGAGACAGGGTGTTCCTCTATCACCCAGGCTAGAGTGCAGTGGCATGATCATTGCTTACTGCAGCCTCGACCTCCTGGGCCCAAGGGATTCTCTCACCTCAGCCTTCATAGTAGCTGGGATTGCAGGCACTCACTACCACGTCCAGCTTATTTTTGTAGAGATGGGTTTGACCATGTTGCCCAGGCTAATAATTTCTCTTACTTTCTAAACCATTTTTGTCAGCCAAGAATTTGCAATAATTTAAAATCAATCAATAGATCAAAGTCAACATGCCCTTATGTACTTACCCTATCAAAGCCCATAGCACATAGGTTTTCTATTTTTTTGGTGTATTCTGGACTAGAAACTGGTGCTCCAGCATACACATTTGCCCAAAGTCGAGCTGTCTGTTTGAACATTTCGGGATTTTGTTTGTACTATATGGGGGGAAAAAATTGATTGAGATGGCATTACAGTTATAATATTTAATATGGTATTTCAGCTCTTAATTGCCTACAACCCTACTTTTGCAAATAAAACAAATCTACATTTAAAATGTGATTCACTCTGCATTATAGACAAACTATGGCACTTGAGAAAAGACCGCTTAATCTGAAGCTTTGACTCACAATTTGTGTTGACAACAATAAAAACAAATAAAATTAATCTACTTTGCTCTCCAAATTCAACAAATATAACTAGCAAAAAAACTAATATTAGGTGAAGTGAGGTATTACAGATGTTCAGTACAGCAGCAAATCTTATACAACTAAACACAGAATTACTAGCTTATAAAAATATGTAAATATGTGGACATTAGAATAATTTTTTACAATGTGACTAGCTTTTGTATTAAAAACAGCTCAGGCTAGAATATAACTAGATTCTCCTGTTTTCTTACAGTCGCATTAACATACAGAGATTTATGGAAACCCCACATGGAAAGTCCTAACTTATTAAGTATCTTGAGCTGATTATAAACTCACAATAGAGTACTTTTATTAAAAGACTTCCCATATGCTTTGGAAGAGGTAAATGTATCAAATACTTTGGAAACACCGTTACTTAGTAAAGCAAAGTATAAATTACTATTCAATTCACTTTACTATTTCTTTTAAAAGCACTTTATATATTTAAATATAGTACATATTAAAATGATAAATCTTGTTTATATCACTGCTTCATAAGGAAATAAGTTAAATTACTGAACTACTTTAGGGGCTAAGAAACTCTCAGTCCAACCTCAACCTCTAAGGCTTAGAGCACAACAGGAAAGCAAAGCTGGAACTCAAGCCATGATTTTAACAACCAAATATGAATAAATAGCACATAAATAAAACATGGAAAACCCTAAGTGGAAGGACTCTGAGGCAAATAACAGAACATGTTTACAAGGATATATACATAAAGCAAGGAGTAAACAGATCTTGAAGGGAAAAGAAGGTAATATATAAATTAAAACCTTACAGGTTAAAGAAGTATGCCAAGAGGAAGTTTCCTCAGGCAGAGGAAATATGGAAGAGATTGGATACAGTATGTAAAAATAAATGCAATGCTTGAAAAAGCCTGAGTTTGAAGAAAACAATTCAGGAAATAAAGCTAGGTCTGCAGAGAGTTCAGATCTGCAAGCTAAAGAATTTGGACTTGAGTAGGTGATAGAGCTACAAACAAGTTTTTGTTAACGAAGTAAAGTAGGATTTGCACTTTATAAAGCTACCTGATAGCAATGTAGAAGACAGAGAAAGGAAGAAAGAGGTTGAGAAAGAGAGATCTATCAGAGCAGTCGAAATGAAACAATTTTTTAAAAGTGACCTATGGGCCAGGCGCGGTGGCTCAAGCCTGTAATCCCAGCACTTTGGGAGGCCGAGGCGGGTGGATCATGAGGTCAAGAGATCGAGACCATCCTGGTCAACATGGTGAAACCCTGTCTCTACTAAAAATTAGCTGGGTGTGGTGGCGCGTGCCTGTAATCCCAGCTACTCATGAGGCTGTGGAAGGAGAATTGCCTGAACCCAGGAGGTGGAAGTTGCCGTGAGCCGAGATCATGCCATTGCATTCCAGCCCGGGTAACAAGAGCGAAACTCCGTCTCATATTAAAAAAAAAAAAAAAAAAAAAAAAAAGTGACCTACGGCAATCAGAGTAATTACGTAAATAGAGTAACAGAGCGATATAGGGAATGGTTATCAGGATAAAAGGAGACACAGAGAAAAACTCCAAAGGCTGTGACTTGGTGGTTAACTATATGAATGTTCCTTGGATGTCTCAGTGTAACACCATCGTTTTATGAACCTATCATTCTATGATACCATCACCAATTTAGTTAAACACCAGGCTTTCATGCTTAGCAGAAAGGGCAAGCCTAAACATTTTATCAATGTACAGGTGGTAACATCAGTATGGATATGATCATCCAAGTGTTAGTGTGTACAGAAAATAAAGGTAACAAGGTCAGAACTGAGGAACTACATTTAAAAAAGAAGAAGAAAAATAATTGTGGGAACGAACAAAGAACAGCTATAAAGTTAGGAAGAAAAGAGGGTAATATCTTAGAAGTAAAGAGAAGAAAAACTTTCTAAGTTAAATAAATTAAAAAAAAAAAAAGAATGCTCATTATATTCCAATGGCTTAGAATAGGTATCAACAAACTTTTTTTTTTTTTTTGAGACAGGGTTTCATTCTGTCATACTGGCTGGAGTGCAATGGCACGATCTCAGCTTGCTGCAACCTCTGCCTCCCAGGTTCAAGTGATTCTCCCACCTCAGCCTCCCAGGTAGCTGGAACTACAGGTGTGTGTCACCACACTGGGCTAATTTTTGCGTTTTCAGTAGAGACAGGGTTTCACCACACTGGCCAGGCTGGTCTACAACTCCTGACCTCAAGTGATCTGCCTACCTCAGCTTCCCAGAGTGCTGGGATTACAGGTATGAGCCACCGCACCTGGCTGGCAAACTGTTTCTTAAAGGGTCAGATACTAATAACTTCAGTCCAGTCTCTGTTGTAACTATTAAACTCAGCCACTGTAGCTGGAAAGCGAAATGAAAAATATTTATTCCATTCAACAATTACAAGGTCATCGGCAACTCTGCCATGCCACATCAGTGCCATGATAGGTGATTAAAATTATTAGCAGTGAGGGATCATCAATGAATGGAAGGATAAATAGAAGGATACATACATGAGCATTAATCATAGAATCTAGATGGTAGGAATATGAGTGTTCACTGTGTAATTATTTTGACTTTATGCGTTTAAAAATATTCATGTCAGGAAAACAGCATCTATATATTCAATTAAACTAGGATATTAACATTCTATTAATTCAGTTTTCACTATTACATCTGACAAAATAATCCTACCACAAGGAAGAAAACCATTTCAAAATTTAGTTTCAAGAGAGTATGCTCATGTGTTAACGTTGCAAAACCACTAAAATGGTTAGGGACTCATACGTAACAAAGTCTTTCAAAAGCAGCCATCTTACCTGATTTGCTACTACGGCATCCTGTGGATCATCTGGTTCTGCAGCTGCCAATAGTGCTTGCAATGACAATAGTACCGTGCGGAGAGTCATTGCAGCTGCCCTAAAACCCAAAATATAAAAATATCCCAATTAAGAAAGCTCTGCAGGCAAAAGCATTTTCTTAATAAAAAAATCAGTAGAGCTAAAAGTTACTTAGATCTTTATCGTAATTATATAGTCAAATCACAGAAATCTGTAATTATGTATCTGCCAATCATATATTTTCTTCCTTAACAATCTGCTATTTCCTTTTTTTTTTAAAAGACAGGGTCTTTGTTGCTTAGGCTGGAGTGGAGTGACACCATCTTGTCTCACTGCAACCTCCACCTCCAGAGCTCATGCAATTCTCCTGCCTTAGCCTCCTGAGTAGCTGGACTGGAAGCACACACTGCCACACCCAGCTAATTTTTTTTTTTTTTTTTGGGGTAAAGACAGGATTTTGCTATGTTGCCTAGGCTGGTGTCAAACTTCTCAGGTGATCCGCCCACCTTGGCCTCCCAAAGTTCAGGAATTACAGGTGTGAGCCACTATACTCAGCCGGCTTTTCTAAGACAACTCAAATAATCTCATCCTGAACTGTCTTATTTTTGTTTTCTCTTATTGTTGCCAATATCCTTCTTGTTAATTTTATCCACTAATTTTCTATCCATTTCTCTAAACATAAAGTGATAAAAAATTAGTGCTAATAGCCTGTGAGATTTTCTTTCAATGGCACTCTAAAAACAAATACTATGAAGCAAATATATTTTCAAGAAAACAAGAAATTATTTCACAACATTCTGAAATAGGCAGTTTTTTCTGCTTAAACTACATCACTTAATTTATGCTTCTAAATGTATTTATAAAGAAAATATCTTTATAAAGCTAATATTTATCTAAAAAATATTATCTACCTATCTAGCAAGAATTCTTGGCATTTCTGTTAAAAAGCTGTTTCACTGGCTGGGTGCAGTGCCTCATGTCTATGTAATCCCAGCACTTTGGGAGGCCGAGGCGAGCACATCATCTGAGGTCAGGAGTTCAAGAGCAGTCTGGCCAACATGGTGAAACCCCATCTCTACTAAAAATACAAAAATTAGCTGGTTGTGGTGGCATCCGCCTGTAATCCCAGCTACTTAGGAGGTTGAAGCAGGAGAATCGCTTGACCCTAGGAGGAAGAGGTTGCAGTGAGCTGAGATTGCACCACTGCACTCTAGCCTAGGCAACAGAGCGAGACTCTTGTCTCGGAAAAAAAAGTTTCACTAGTTAACAGAGATATGTATAAATATAATGTGGACATATGAAAAATATTGCAAAACGTGAAGATAATGCCCATTTTTACCACGCAAATTAGAGCATTCTTTTTTGTTTTTTGTTTTTTTTTTAGACACAGGGTCTCACACTGACTAGGCTAAAGCGCAGTGGCACAATCACAGCCCACCACAGCCTTGACCTCTTTGGCTCAGGTGATTGTCATACCTCAGCCTTCTGAGTAGCTGGAACTACAGGTGCATGCCACCATGCTCAGCTAATTAAATTTTGTTTTGTTTTGTTTTTTTTGGTAGAAACAGGGTTTCACCATGTTGCTCAGGCTGGTCTCCAACTCCTGAGCTCCATCAATACTCCCACTTCAGCCCCCGAAAGTGCTGGGATCATAGGTGTGAGCCACCACAACTGGTCAATTACTCTAAATCATCCTTTTTCAACTTGATTCCTGATTTGAACCACAGAATAGAGAAAATTTGTGATTGTTTTCTCACTTTTCCCAAGTTTGGTGCATAAATAGTACTTCCCTAGATGCCTATAATAAAAGTTAATTTAGACTGGGTGCAGTGGTTCATGCCTGAAATCCCAGCACTTTGGAAGGTTGAGGAGGGCAGATCACTTGAGGCCAGAAGTTTGAGACCAGCCTGGGCAACATGGTGAAACCCTGTCTCTGCTAAAAATATAAAAATTAGCCAGATGTGGTGGCACATGCCTGTAATCCCAGTTACTTGAGGGGCCTGAGGCAGGAATCGCTTGAACCTGGGAGGTGAACACCAGATGGCGCCACTGCACTTTACCTGGGGGACGGAGCCAGACTCTTGTCTTCCACACCTCCAACCCTAGCCAAAAAGTTATTACCAACAACCAACAATGGAGGTCTTAAGGCAATGAGCTCACAGTGTTGTTCATGGAACCAGCAGCAGCAGCATCCCTTGGGAACTTCTTTTTTTTGTTTGTTTGAGATAGAGTTGTGCTCTGTCCCCCGGCTGGAGTGCAGGGGTGAAATCTCGGCTCACTGCAACCTCTGCCTCCCAGGTTCAAGCAATTCTCCTGCCTCAGCCTCCCAGATGACTGGGATTACAGGTGCACGCCACCGGGCCTAGCTGATTTTTGTATTTTTTTTTTTTTAGTAGAGACAGCGTTTCACCGTGTTGGTCAGGCTGGTCTCGAACTCCTGACCTCAGGTGATCCTCCCGCCTCCGCCTCCACCTCCGCCTCCCAAAGTGCTAGGATTACAGGTGTGAGCCACCCTGCTGGCCTGTCTTACTGTTCTCACAATAACAAAGGAAAATGCTTTCTCTAATTTCATTTGATAATTGGGGTAATTTCAAAGAGAACATTTAAAGGCACATACACATCAACAGCCACCTAGATGTACTCAGCATAAAGCTGACCTAAACCACCAAAAATAACATAAAGATCAAAAAGGCGACATATAAACAATGAAATATACAACACTTAAGTGTGCTACTTCATTTTCCAATGGACTTTCTAAACAACCTAATTTTAAAATTCATGGTGTCACTTGAAACAAGATCTTATATAATTTGTAATAAAATTATTTATTTTAAAGGAAATTCACCTGAATAGCAAAGACAAGTTTCCACTCAAAGAAAGTATTTAATACTAAGGCAATTATTAAACTCACAATACTTATTTTAATTTGAAATAAAAACATAAAGGCATGTAAAATAAAAGCATCTTAATCTTATAAATCCTCCAAGTCCCTCGTACTATCACATAATTACATGCCTATCCCATAGGTAGTTTTACATATATCTCAACAAGGCAATAAACACTTTTCTTAAAAACTGATAATCTCGTTTTTTTTCTTTTTCCTCGAGTATGGAAGTATAATCTCTCAAATTAATGAAGTTGGACCCTTACCTTATTATATCCTATATAACAGTTAACTCAAGACTGGGCTTGGTGGCTTACGCCTGTAATCCCAGCACTTTGGGAGGCTGAGGCAGGTGGATCATCTCAGGTCAGGAGTTCGAGACTAGCCTGACCAACATGGAGAACCCAATCTCTACTAAAAATACAAAAAATTAGCTGGGCATGGTGGTGCTTGCCTGTAATCCCAGCTACTCGGGAGGCTGAGGCAGGAGAATCACTTGAACCTGGGAAGCAGAGGCTGTGGTGAGCTGAGATTGCACCATTGTACTCCAGCCTGGGCAATAAGAGCAAAACTCCATCTCAAAAAGACAAAACCCCAAAACGGATCAAAGACCTAAACGTTACGAGCCAGAAAGCAAAAATGGGGAAAACTTGAGAACACTGAATTTGGCAATTATTCCTTGGATATGACATTGAGAGCACAGGAAACCAAATGGAAAATAAGGGAAAATGTATGACAACTTTATCAAAGTTAAAAACTCCTAGCCAGGTGCGGTGGGGCTCACGCCTGTAATCCCTGCACTTTGGGAGGCTGAAGTGGATCACGTGAGGTCAGAAGTTCAAGACCAGCCTGGCCAACATGCTGAAACACCACTTCTTCTAAAAACACAAAATTAGCCAGGTGTGTTGGTGCATGTCTGTAATCCCAGCTACCTGGGAGACTAAGGCAGGAGAATTGCTTGAATCCAGGAGGCAGAGGCTGCAGTAAGCCAAGATCACGCCACTGCACTATCCAGCCTGGGCAAGAGAGCAAAACACAATCAATCAATCAATCCTCCTGTGAAGCTGGTGTGGTGGCATACACCTGCAGTCCCAGCTACTTGGGAGGCTGAGGTGGGACGATCACTTGAGCCCAAGAGTTAGAGGATAGCTTGGGCAACAAAGCAAGACCCCCACTACTTGAAACAAAAAACCTGTGTTGCAAAGGACACAATCAATACAATGAAAATGCAACTCACAGAAGAGGAGAAAATATCTGCAAATCATTTATCTGGTTATGGCTTAATATTCATAGAATATAAAGAACTCCTATAACTCAATAACAACAACAAAACACCCGGGTAAAAAATCAACAAGGAACATGAACAGACATTTCTCCAAAGAAGATATATAAAGTGTCAATAAACACATGAAAAGATGCTCAGCACCACTATCATTAGGAAAATGCAAATCGAAATCACAGTGAGCTATCACTTCATATCCATTAGGATGGCTACTATAAAAAAATAGTAATTGTTAACTAGGTTGTGGAGAAATGGAACTCTTGTGCACTGTTTGTAGGAATGTAAAATGGTGAAAACTCTTATCGAAAACCATATGACGGTCCCTCAAAAAAACAAAACAAAACAAAACAAAAACGAACACAGAGTTACTAGATAATCCAGTGATTCCACTTATGGGTATACACCCAAAAGAAATGAAAGTAGGAATTGGAGTAGGTATTCATATATGCATGTTTATAACAATATTATTCACAGTAGCCAAAAGGCAGAAGTAACTTAAGTTTCCATGGATGGATAAACAGATCAACAAAATGCTTGGCTTGTGTGTGTGTGTGTGCGCGTGCGCACGCAGTGAATTATTTTTGCCTTAAAAGGAAGGAAATTTTGACATATGCTACCACATGCCATACATGTTTCAGAATAATATAGACATTATTCCAAGTGAAATAAGCCAGAAACAAAAGGACAAATATTGTATGCTGCCATTAATGTACCTAGAGTAGTCAAATTCAGAGAAAGAAAGTAGAATGGTGACTGCTAAGGGCTGGGGCAGGGGGAGGCTAAAGGTAGGGGATGGGATTGTGAAGTTGTTTAATCTGTATAGTTTCAGTTCTGCCAGAGAAAGACTTCTGGAGACAGGATGCACAATAACCATTCTTTTTTTTTAATTTTCTTTTGTTGCTCTGTTTGCTTA